ACGTAGTCGAGGTCCTGCTGTCTTGGGCACCGAGGCCCTTGACAACTTGGTATCAGGTTCCAGGCGATCCTCCTCCTCGTCCACGCTCCATCCGCCGGCCGCTTTCCCCCCTGTGTCCGCGCCCAGCTCCCCGACATCGCCACAATCCGCTGCCGCCTCGGTCACTTCCGGCATGGCAGAACCGACCACCACAGATCTGGCTAAGATGATCGAGGCCTTGACGGCCACGGTGATGTCCCTGCAGTCGTCCGTCACCGCACTCCAGAAGGACAAGTCCTCCTCTTCGTCCAGCGCTGCCGCCGCCCATGATGGGCAGCACCACAATGATCGGCCGCCCAGGTTCCAGAAGATGGACTTCCCCAAGTTCGACGGCAAGTCTGATCCGCTCGCCTTCATCAACAGATGCGAGTCCTTCTTCCATCAACAACGGATCGCCGAGGAGGAGAAGGTGTGGATGGCGTCCTACAATCTCGAGGGTCCTGCCCAACTATGGTATATGCAGGTCCAGCGAGACGAGGGCACACCTCCGTGGCGCCGCTTCTCCGAGCTGCTCAATCTCCGCTTCGGGCCACCGCTGCGCGCTAACCCGCTGGGCGAACTAATGGCGTGCAAACGCACGACGTCCGTCGTCGACTTCCAGGAGCGGTTTGAGGCACTCCTTCCCCGGGCAGGCACCTTATCCGAGACACAGAAAGTGCAGATCTTCACCGCGGGACTCCAGCCACCCCTCAGCCTCGACGTGGAGATCCATAACCCACAGTCCCTCGCCGTCGCCATGAGCCTCGCCCGCAAATTGGAGCTGCGCGACCAGTGCGCGCTTTCCGCCGCGCCACCGGTGCGTTTTCCACAGAAGGGCATCCTGCCGACACCAGGACCACGCCTCGCGCCCCCCGCTCCGGCCCCACCAGCCGCACCTCAGCAGGGCCACAATCTGCCGGACGGACGCCCAATCAAGCGTCTCTCCCAGACAGAGATGGAGGAACGCCGTCGCCTGGGCCTTTGCTTCAACTGTAACGAGAAGTTTGGCAGGGGCCACAACCGCGTGTGCCAGCGCATCTTTCTCCTCGACTTAGCGCCGGACGACGACGACGACGCGGCCTCCGCCACTGATGATGCATCGCGGGCCGACCCTCAAATCTCGCTCCACGCGATCGCCGGCGTGCGCACGAGTGAAACCATGCAGATGCAGATTACTCTCGGAGGTGTCTCCCTCCTCGCCCTGATCGATTCAGGCTCCACCCACAACTTCATCGCCGAAGAGGCGGCCGCTCGTGCTACGTTACCGCCCCCCACCACAGAGAAGATGCGCGTCACGGTGGCCAACGGCGAGCGCGTTCCGTGCCAGGGCGCGTACCGCGTCGTGCCCTTCCGCATCGGCCACGAGGAGTTCGCGGAGGATTTCCTCGCCTTGCCGCTCGCGGGCTACGACATCGTCCTGGGCACGCAGTGGCTGGCGTCGCTCGGACCGATCCTGTGGGATTTCCGAGCCCTCTCCATGACATTCTGGCGGCGGGGCCATCGGGTGTGCTGGCACGGCATTGCAGGACCGGACGGGCCAGCCCTAAAATCATGCAGCGGCCGCGACTTCCTGGACGCCATCATCACCGAGTTCGACGGCATCTTCGCCGACCCCTCCGGCATGCCACCGCCCCGCAGCCGCGATCACGGCATCACCCTGCTACCTGGTTCCGCCCCGGTGGCCGTCCGTCCGTATCGATACCCGGCCGCGCACAAGGACGAGCTGGAGCGTCAGTGCGCCGCCATGCTCGCCCAAGGTATCATCCGTGCGAGTTGTTCCGCATTCTCGTCCCCGGTACTGCTGGTCCGCAAGGCCGACGGGTCCTGGCGCTTCTGCATCGATTATCGCGCCCTGAACGCCATTACTGTCAAGAATGCGTTCCCGATTCCGGTGGTGGACGAACTCCTCGACGAGCTACGGCACGCTCGTTTCTTCACCAAGCTCGATTTACGTTCCGGCTACCACCAGGTGCGGATGCGTGAGGAGGACATCCCGAAGACAGCTTTCCGTACTCATGACGGCCTCTACGAGTTTCTGGTGATGCCGTTCGGACTCTGCAACGCGCCGGCCACGTTCCAGGCCCTCATGAATGATCTGCTGCGGCCATACCTGCGCCGTTTTGTTCTCGTCTTCTTTGACGACATCCTCATTTTCAGCGAGACATGGGCTGACCATCTCCGACATGTGCGCACCGTCTTCACGGTCCTGCACCAGCACCGGCTCTTCGTCAAGCGCTCCAAATGCGCGTTCGCCGTTGAATCAATCGCATACCTGGGTCACACCATCTCCGCTGCAGGCGTGGCCATGGATCCGGAAAAGGTGCAGGCAGTAGCGGACTGGCCGCAACCACGCTCGGCGCGCGCGGTTCGGGGCTTTCTCGGCCTTGCGGGGTACTACCGCAAGTTTGTCAAGGACTTTGGCGTGGTTGCCGCGCCCCTGACGGCCCTCCTTCGCAAGGATGGTTTCTCTTGGTCACCGGAGGCGGCAGCAGCTTTTACCACCCTCAAGACGGCAATCACCACGGCTCCCGTCCTCGCGTTACCGGATTTTACACGGCCGTTCATCGTCGAGTGTGACGCATCGACGTACGGTTTCGGGGCCGTCCTTCTTCAGGACCACCACCCGGTGGCTTTCTTTAGCCGGCCAGCCGCGCCACGTCACCGTTCCCTGGCAGCGTATGAACGGGAACTCATCGGCCTGGTGCTCGCGATTCGCCATTGGAGGCCGTACCTATGGCGACGTCAATTTGTGGTAAAAACGGATCATTACAGCCTCAAATTTCTGCTTGACCAGCGTTTGGCCACCATCCCGCAGCATCATTGGGTTGGCAAACTCCTGGGATTCGACTTTATGGTGGAGTACAAGGCAGGTAGTACCAACACGGTGGCGGATGCACTTTCCCGCCGTGACACGGAGGAGACGACGATCATGGCGGTCTCAGGGCCTCGTTTCGACTTCATCAATCGCCTCCGGCAAGCGACGTCCACTGATCCGGCGCTCGTCGCACTGCGGGAGGATATCACGGCAGGTGCGCGGCAACAGCCTTGGGCGCTCTCCGACGGCCTCGTTACCTTCAACGGCCGCCTCTACATTCCGCCGTCATCCCCGCTACTCCAGGAGATTCTCAGTGCCGTGCATGATGATGGGCATGAAGGCGTCCTGCGCACATTGCATCGTCTTCGCCGCGATTTCCACGCACCTAACCTTCGCAAGACGGTGCAGGAGTACATCCGCACTTGCGGTACTTGCCAGCGGTACAAGTCCGAGCACTTGCACCCTGCTGGGCTGCTCCTGCCGCTGCCGGTACCCACGGGCGTGTGGACTGACATCGGCATCGACTTCGTGGAAGCGCTTCCTCGAGTAGGCGGGAAGTCTGTCATCCTCACCGTGGTGGATCGCTTCAGCAAGTATTGCCATTTTGTGGCGTTAGCCCACCCATACACGGCAGAGTCAGTGGCACAGGTGTTCTTCGCTGAGGTTGTTCGTCTCCACGGCGTACCACAGTCCATGGTCTCTGACCGCGACCCCGTCTTCACCTCCGCTTTTTGGCAAGAGCTCATGCGCCTCACGGGGACAAAGCTGCACATGACGTCCGCATTTCACCCGCAGTCGGATGGGCAAACGGAGGCTGCTAACAAGATCATTGTGATGTATTTACGGTGTCTTACCGGGGATCGTCCCAAGCAGTGGCTCCGGTGGCTTCCCTGGGCTGAGTACATATACAACACCGCCTACCAGACAGCAACCCAAGAGACTCCGTTCAAGCTTGTGTATGGCCGTGACCCTCCCACTATTCGCTCTTACGAGCCCGGCGACACACGGGTGGCTGCAGTGGCCAGGAGCATGGCTGAGCGCGACGAACTTATCGAGGACGTCCGCTATCGTCTACAACAGGCACAGGCGGTCTATAAGTCCTACTACGACAGACGTCATCGGGACATTCGGCATGAGGTGGGCGATTGGGTTTGGCTTCGCCTTCGACAGCGCGCCGCGTCCTCTCTCAACTTGCCAACCAGGGGCAAGCTCAAGCCACGATTCTATGGGCCGTACCGCATTTCAGAAGTGATCAACAACGTGGCATACCGTCTTGAGCTTCCGGCGCGCTCGCGCCTCCATGACGTGTTCCACGTGGGCCTCCTCAAGAAGTTCTTCGGCATTCCTCCAACTACACCGCCGGGATTGCCTTCGATCCACAACGGGGCGGCTGTTCCAGAACCAGAGCGCGTGACTCGTGCGCGCCTAGCACGCGGCGTTCGCCAGCTACTCGTCCACTGGAAGGGTGAAGCAGCTTCGTCAGCTACATGGGAGGATCTTGACAGTTTCATCGAGCGCTACCCCGCTTTTCAGCTCGAGGACGAGCTGCTCGTCGAGGGGGGGAGAGATGTCATGTGGGGCACGTCTTACAGACGTGGGCCGCGCGGCCAGGAGCAGCCGACGGCCGCATCAGGCAAGGCGCAGACTGGACAGGAGTCCTGATCCGGGCACATTAGTTCCTAGACTAGTTTATTTCGTATAGGTTTCTAGTTTGTTATTAGCCCATGGGGCCTTTATATATCAGATAGTTAGCACCCTTTAGGGATAAGCAATAAAGTTATTTCCTTCTATCTTCCCCTCCCGCATCATAGAGCAGCCAGGCAAAAACCCTAGCGCTCCTATCCCCCGCGACTACGAACTACGTAGTCGAGGTCCTGCTGTCTTGGGCACCGAGGCCCTTGACATTAACTCTCTTCACACTTGAAAGCTTCAACTGGACAGTTTTGGACAGTTTCAGAGAAATATGAGCAAACAAGCAAAATAACATATGGTGTGTACAATGGTTGCGTTGTCAACAAGACAATCCACTAATCCCGCACATAATTGATCAGAATAACAAAATAGATTCTTATTCCCTTTCCCAGGACAGAATAAAATTACAATTATCAATATATCTAGAAGGGGTTAATTGGGGAGTGAAGCAACAATATAAATAAAAAGCACATGCTCATATTGTTGTGGCAATGAATACTAACTTCTTTTGTTTATAAATAAAATGGGATGTTGGTCCTTTGGACATTGTGATACAATTTCTCTTCCTCCCTCTCGACATCCTGATATAATAGTATCTACAAGGTTCATGCGCAAACAATCGAGCAAATGCCGCTTTCAAAATTTCACAAGACCTTTGATCAGAAAACTCACCTCTTTTGTACTTGCTGATTTGCAGGCCATTATTGGTCCTTCCAAGCCAGCAGGCCTGTGGTCAAATTTCTGCTGCTGTTGGTCCTGCACCTCATTTCCCTTGTTCATCTTGAAACAAAATGACAGAATTATACTATATAAAGAGAAAGATAAGGCAATTTTTTTTAAAAGGAGGACAACCGTTGGCCTCTGCATTATTGAGATGCACACAACCATATTTATTTATCGACAAGCATGGCAATAAGAACGATAATGAGAATATTACATCATTTCATTTAAACTACACAAAAGTGACATTGCTACGTACTGCATCATTTACTGTTTAGATGTACAACAGTTTATACTGCATCATTTACTGTTCAGATTAACAACAGTTAATGTACTACTAAAGAATCAGGGTTCTTCGATAAGTAAGGCTATGTGCCTATGTTTGGGTACTTAGGAATTAATCAGCTAGGGCATGAATTAACCAGCAAATGTCTACTTTGCATAAACTTTAAGGGGTGAAAATATATACCTTTCTCTATAACTAACTGCTCGATTAATTATCAGGATTTGAGTATAGCTACCTAGGTATGTTACCTCATCACCTTGCTTCAGCATTTGCTGCTGCTGTCGCTGCATCTGGATGGCAGCCGCGGCGACAACCGCATAATCAGCGAGACCAATCTTCATTGACTTTGGCGTCTTTACCTCCATATCCCCGTTAGTCGAAGGCTCATGCAATACTGTCGATGTCGTGGCAGCGGCACTCTGCCGTGGCTGTGTCTGATAGAAGACCTTCGACACGATCAACTCCCCTTCCTTCTCGTCCTCTAGGTCGCCGAGGTGGTACTGGTGCATCACCCAATTAGTCTTCTCTGGCTTTCGTGCCTTGCCAAAGTTGCTGTACAACACTAGGATCTTCTTGCACCCCTTGTGCCGTCCGTCCACCATCAGCGGCCGTGTCTTGCCAGTCTTGTGCCACCGTGTCTCAGCACCATTTTTACTGTTGGACAGCTCATTCTCTGCGTGGATCTTTCTCCTCTTCCTCGTGCCTGTGGTGTAGGCCTTTGATGGTCTGTGGAAAAAGTGTTTGCTCTGGCCATTTCTTGTCACACCTGGTGATCAAGTACACATAGTTTGTTTCGATAAAGAAATATACAAAGAGTTTGGGTGATCATAATTCAAGTTATAGGAGAATAGGTACTTGTAGTTATTGATTCAACCAAAACATTGAATGGATCATTTTTTGTACGTACTGTATGTCTATGGATCTCGATTCTCACCTGGGAGTTTCTCTGGATGGGTGTAGCAAATGCCATCTTCTCCCTCAATGGTGGGTATGAAGTCATCGATGAGGGAGTGAGCTCTCTTCATCACCTTGGACTCAAGGTGCTCAATCAGCTCCTGGTCCGTCGGATCGAACTTGACACCGGCAGGAAACCCAACCATGTCCTTCTTGCGATAGCGGCAACATGACATTCACCCCAGAAACAAACATCACATGAGAGATTGAATTTAATTTATTTGTGCACACATGCACCCAAGGGCTGAACAAGATAAGCAGTACGTAATTAATATATATGTACCGGCTTGTAGTCGAGCTCATGGCCGCAGTTGACGCAGTGCTGGGAAGCAAAGAACCCCTGCTCCTGGAGTTTAGCGTCCATCATGGACTTGAAGTACCCTGGGTGACCCTTGTCCATGAGTTGCTATACGTGGATGATACGCTAACAGATATCAGTAACGAATTAATCTCAATTCAATAAACATGCATCAGAAATTTAGAACTTGAGAAGTAACAAATAGAAGGCCCAAGATAGGAGGAGACCAAGCAACCTAAATGAGAGATCAGCTCAGATAAAGCCAGCAGAAGTATGTGAAGATAACAACAATTAATTCAAAGGCAGGCATTTTCCACCATTTAATTCGTTATTTGATACTACAGGAAATGGGCCATATCTCAACTCAAGTCCTCATCTCTGAAAGGATTATCACAACAATTCTATAAATCTAGTTCTTTTTAATCTTGTCGTATAAATGAAGGCGCTTTTCTGGAACATTAGAGGTTTCTGTGCTAGGGGGCGCAGAGACCAACTTAAGGACCTAGTTCGATCTGAGAATGTGGATTTTATTGGCCTTGTCGAGACTTTCAAATCTTCCTTTTCTGCTAGTGAATTATCGGCTATTGCTGGGATAGATAGATTTCATTGGAATTTTGTGGCCTCGGCTGGTCACTCGGGAGGGTTTCTGCTTGGATGCAAGAAAGATACTTTTGATTTCGTGGCTTTCGATCATGGCATTTTCTGGGCTAGCATGGTGGTCTCCATTCGCTCTCTCAACTCCTTAGTAGAAATTTTAGTGGTTTATGGTCCGGCGGATCATGCTATGTCTTGTGCCTTTTTGGATGAGCTTTCTATTAAGATTGAATCTTGCCAGCTTCCGCTGTTGATTGGGGGTGATTTTAATTTGCTTCGTGTCCCCTCCGACAAGAGCTCTCCTAACTTCTCGTGGCCCCTTGCTGATGCGTTCAATGGCTTCATTAGGGATATGGCTATTCGTGAGGTACCTAGGGTCGGAGCCTGGTACACGTGGTCTAATCATCAACCCCCCCCCATTCGCTCAGTTCTTGACAGAGTTTTTGTTTGCCCGAGGTGGGACCCTCTTTTTCCTCATGCTAGTCTTAAGGCCCTTGCTCCTGTTGGCTCGGATCACACACCCCTGATTCTTGACGATGGATCGCGTTCCTTGGGTGTCTCGAGGTTTCATTTTGATGCTTCCTGGCTTCTAGTCGAGGGTTTCAACGGTTTGATGGCTCAAAAAATTTTGTCCTTCCTTTCCTCGAACCGGCGTTCCTTTGGACCTATGGATGACTGGCACCAATGCTCCTATTTCCTCCGTAGATTCCTTAGAGGGTGGGCCAGAAACCATTTTGCAGAGTCAAGGCGTGACAAAGCAAGGTTGGTGGCTCAGATAGGCGTCCTGGACGACCGTGCGGATTCAATTGGGTTGTCCTCGAATGAATGGCATTCCCGGTATGGGTTAGAAGAGACGTTGTTGGCCATTCATAGACAGGAGGAAATTTACTGGAAACAACGCGGTACTATCAACTGGACCCTCAAGGGGGACTTGCCCACAACGTATTTCTTTGCTATTGCTAATGGTAGACGGCGAAGGTGCTTTATTGATAGCCTTATTATTGACGGTGTCAGGACTTCTGACCCACCGGTCATTATGCGGCATGTGGTCTCCTTCTTCGCTAACCTTCTTGCGGCTAAACCCGTGCTTGGCTTCAAGCTGGCTGCGAACTTCTGGGCCCCGTGTGACCAACTTTCGAGCGCTGACAATGAGATCATTCTTATTCCCCCTTCGGAGGAGGAAATTTTTGAGACGATTCGCTCTGCCAATTTTAATGCGGCGCCAGGCCCGGACGGCTTTTCGATTCCTTTTTTTCAACAATTCTGGCCTCAATTAAAAGGCCTAATCTTGGCTATCACTCAAGGTTTTTGGCTGGGGACTGTAGACATCTCGAGACTCAACTACGCAGTCCTCACCCTCATTCCTAAAGTTAAAGGCGCGGACGTAATCTCCCAGTTTAGACCTATTGTTCTCATTAACAACTTTGCTAAGATTCCTGCTAAGGGTATGGCTGTGAAGCTGTCCCCGATCGCTCATCGAGTCATTAGCCCCTTCCAATCTGCTTTCATTAAGGGAAGATACATCCTGGATGGGGTGCTATGCCTTCACGAGATTATCCATGATCTGTGTTGCAAGAACACCAAGGCTCTGGTGCTCAAGCTCAATTTTGAAAAGGCGTACGATTCGGTTAGTTGGAGCTTCCTTCGCCAAGTGCTATTGGCCAAGGGGTTCGCTAGCTCGGTGGTCCATCGCCTGATGCAACTGGTCTCGGGGGGCCACACGGCGGTGGCAGTTAACGGGCAGACCAGTAACTTCTTTGCGAATGGTAGGGGCTTGAGGCAAGGGGATCCGGCGTCTCCCTTGCTTTTCAACTTTGTGGCTGATGCTCTCTCCCGCATTTTGGCTCGTGCAGCGGCTGCTGGCCATATTGCGCCTGTTAGTTCTCACCTTCTTCCTAATGGCATCTCTCATTTACAATATGCGGACGACACAATCATTTTGGTGGAGCTGAATGATCATTCCATCACTAATCTGAAATTTATTCTTCTATGCTTTGAAGCCCTGTCGGGTCTTAAAATCAACTTCTCTAAGAGCGAGGCAATTGTGACTGGGGTCTCTGACGAGGAGGCGCAACGGGTAGCCCACCTTCTGAATTGCTCTCTCGGAGCCTTCCCTCTTAAATATTTGGGCCTTCCGATTTCCCCTCTTAAGGTGTTGGCTAAAGAATTTGCCCCGGTTGTGACTAAAGTTGGCAATAGAGTTTTGCCGTGGCGAGGTCGGTACAACTCCCAGGCGGGCAAGGTTGCCCTCACCAATTCCTGCCTATCCTCGCTCCCGATGTTCCTCATGGGATTCTATCTGCTGTCCGAAGGGACACACTCGGGCTTCGATAAGCACAGGGGTGCTTTTTTCTGGAACTCCTCCGATAATAAACGTAAATACAGGATGGTTAAGTGGGATCTCATCTGTAGACCCAAGAGCATGGGGGGTCTAGGCATCATCAACACCAGAATCATGAATAAATGCTTGTTACTTAAATGGTGGTGGAAGATTATGACCCTTGATGACCGTCCCGTGTGGCTTAATATCCTAAAAGCAAAATATTTCCCTTCTTCCAGCTCTATGCTCGCTTCCGCTTCTGGTGGCTCTCAATTCTGGCGCCAGCTAGTTAGCATCAGACCGGCTTTTCAGTCCCTTGTGAAGTTTGTTGTTCGTAATGGTAAGTCCACGCGTTTTTGGTTAGACTGGTGGGTTGGTGACACCACACTGGCGGTGGCCTACCCGACTCTGTTCTCGTTTTGTGCGGACCCTGAGATCTCTATCTTTGAGCTCTCGGCTCACGGTTGGGTTCTTGATTTCCGGCGCTCTCTTTCCCCAGTAGAGTTGGAAGATTGGCATCGTCTTATTGCCTGCTTCCCCCTGCTCTCGGAGGAAGAGGACTCCGTGGTTTGGCCCCATGCCTCTTCGGGGCGTTTTTCGGTTAAGTCGTCTTATTTGAAACTTATCGCTGGGTCCCGCACGGATAAGTTTAAGTCCATTTGGTCTGCCCGCATCCCTCCCAAGATCAAGATCTTCCTATGGCAAGCTTACCGTCGCAAACTTCCTGCGGCTGACCAGATTAAGAAGAGGAATGGTCCGGGCTCGGAATACTGTCAACTTTGCGGTGCCCTTGAGAACACTGAGCATATCTTTTTCCACTGTTCCTTGGCTAAATTCACATGGAGTTGTATTAGACGTTGGCTTGGGGTTAATTGGTACCCATCCTCCTTTGGTGATTTGAGGCAGTGCATCAACTCCCTAGTAGGCCGGTCTAAGAGGGTTTTCTTCGTGGGATGGGCTGCGTTGTGTTGGGCGCTCTGGACTACTAGAAACAAGTTCACTATTGAGCACATTTTCCCTACTAACCCTGTCAACTGCTTATTTAAAGCTACTATCTTTTTGCAACAGTGGAGATCATTGATTAAGGACGGGGATCTACAGGCTTTCGATGACATGTTATCCAGAATGAATTCTACGGCGTCTACCCTGCTGCGGCACTCTAGGCGAAATCCTCCTCAGGAGTCTGGCTGGTGCTTGGGTGGCCTGCGTGCCAATTAGGCTGGATGCCTTGTATCTGCACTTCTTATGTGGCTGATTTAAACTTATGTGGTTTCGTGGTGTTGTGACTCTGCCTGGTGGCTTTATTTATAAAGTCGGGCTATCGCCTTTTCTCTATAAAAAAATATTAGCTGAGCATCCAAAATTGAACAGTGTAGTACAATACTTCCATGAACTGCTGCCCCTGCTCGCCCATAAATCCACAACTAATACAAAATTCCAACTAAATTAACCCCTGGGTGCTAGGAACTGTATGCACCTGAGCCTGGTTATTTTGCTTCTTATACATACAGTCAGATAGACTAGAGGACCAGCAGGGAGAAAAAAGAAATATAACAGCAACCCCTTCTAATAAAAGTCAAAAGCCAGCGAGCAGGAAAAATATTTCTCCTTCACCTAATTAAGGTCCCATGGCAACTATTGTTGATGGCATTTGGAGCAAATAGATATTTGAACTTCCCCAGATTATTTATCTCTGGGGAATTTTCGGGTGAATCAAAAGGCAAACCATCCGTTAGCACTGCACTATCAAAAATCGAAACTGTATCGAAAGGCCAAGGCTAAGTTCGTTGTAATTAACAAGCTCGACGGAACTAATGGCGCACGGGCATGAGATCTGCCGCGAATCAATCTCAGCGAGCGAACGGAAAACAGAAGAGGCGGGTGGGGGGACTGCGGAGTGTTAGAGGAGCTCACATGGAGGGTGGAGAGTCGATTTTCGGAGGCGCCTGGAGCCGCCGGTGGATCGATCCAGGCAGTCGACGGGGTGGGAGAGAGACGAAGCGGGGGAGCAGCCGAGGAGAGGAAGAGCAGTAGATCGAGATGATGGATATCAGTGCGGGGAACTGCTCTTCCTTGCAACGCAAGGCAGCACAGGCTGGTTGGGGACTTGGCGTGCTGCGGCGGAGCGTCCACGAGGGAGGAACGGGCTAGACTG